CATTGTCGTTGGTGTTTCATTTCTATTCAGTAATAGTATTCAATTGTGAAATTTACAGACCGAAAATTCTAAACTATGAAGAAAACTTCAGCAGATTTAATACTTTTAAAGTGAATTATGAATCTTGATAACACAATAGATGCTGTTTTGAAGACAAATCAATACAATATATACTAGGATTTGACCAAAAGTTTTACATTTAAAAACAAATTTAAAGAAAAAGAGAAAGAGAAAGTTCGAGTTTTATTTTATTAAATGTTGATGATAGCTGTCATGATTATATATAACAAGTTGAATCCTTTCTAACAATTTGTTAAAAAGGTTTTTTGAACTCTTTCGAAAAAATTTTTAGCTATTTTGGATACCACATGGGTCAATCATATCTCATTGTTTTTAAAGTTTAGTGAAATTTTGTTCGACCATGGTAGTTGCGTTTCTAGAACTACTAGGGATGGCATATGGATTTATTTTCGATACGTTAGTTATAAGTCATCTGATGCTATCCACGTAAAAATAATTCAAGCAAAACCGCTTCATACCGCGGTTTTCCTACCACACTGCGGTATTCGTATTAAATACCCCGGTTGATTTTTAGAAACCGCGCCTTCTAGCGGTTTTCTGTACCTGTGATCACAGAAAGCCACGGCGTTTGCATTATCAACCACGGTCTGCGAAATCTGAGATAACCACTAATAGGGTAAACCGCGGTGCTTACATTCCCAGGTCATTATCGATCAGTCGGTACTTGTCGGACGGGTTATATTTCCGATGTCACATGGTGATCGGGTTCGATCGGTTAATTTCTGACGAATTCCGATTATTTTCTTTGTTTTCTTATGAAATCTGGTTGCCGGATTCTCCAAGAACCGGCCAGATTTCCATTGCCGGAAAATATCAGGTCAGATTATACGATTAGGCCGTATACGACGTGATCCGACAATATCCGAGAACAAAACTTTACTGGAATCCGCCGTGCCGCATAACGTTCGATTTCATGGTAGATCCGGCTTAGTCAGTATCACCGGAACCATTCGGATCATATCAGAACGGAACGGTCCTACTCATCGGATTAACCAACTTACTACAGCACAGATCCGACCGAAAACATCCGCAACTAATTACCAACTACTAAAGGAAGATCTTGTGATCGATTCCGACCGTTAGTTAACAGCTCATACAAGCGATGAAAGGCATGAATTAAAAATTATGGATCATCCAATATGTTATTTATGAAAAGTCAATCCACATGAGCTACAAGATTATGTATTTATTGATGTTGAGCAAAGTTATCGACCCGAATGAATCTCACTCAAGTCGTTCATCATGACTCCTGCTAATATAACCTAATTCCACGAACGACTCCTGGTCTAACACGAAATCCAAAGCCATTTATGATTACCCAGGGCGCGATAAACTTGCTATATATGCATACTATGTTGTTCGTGCATGCAACTTGGCAAAATTTACAACGCCTTACACAGGTGTTTACTCGGTCTGACAAGACCGGAAGCATCATTTCAAATCACCGACAAACACTTTTGCGGACGCTGGAATGTTCCTTACATATAATATTAATTAATTCATACGCCACTAAATCGTTTTTGGATGTCACTCAGAATCATGTTTCATGAAGAAAAGCTATGTTGGAAGGATCCAGAATGAGTTCCTGAACGATTCTATACGACTGATACAATTTTTTGATAGGTGCACAATGATGCGTGGAGCGATTTTCTTTTAATTTTTGGTGAAGACAATTACTCATTCTATAGGTTTAGAATGTAATTAATGGATGAAAAAGAAAGTGGTGATGGTCCAGAATGGTATTCAGATGCATTTTCTATGAATTATTAATGATTTCGATTAGTGGAAAATGATGTGTGGAGCGATGTTTCCATGAATTAAAATGCTACAAGATGACCCAGTGAACGTGTTTATAATTTGTTTAATGAATACGATGTATAGTAGGATGGTTCTGGATCATTCTAAGCGTGTGTATTGGTGAGTCAGATGTTGTTGATTCCGGGTTACAATATTTCTCAGGGTGGTTGCTGTTGGCAGAAATGCTTGTTTTGGATCCGTTGAGGTGGGGACGGTATGGATTATGTGTGATTATTGAGGAGGAGTAGTTGTTTCGGTTGGTGTGCATTTTCTTGAGGACTACAGTTGATTCATCTTGTGATTGAAGCACGATTGTATGAGGGATTTTGTATGAGGAACTGGTCATCGGAATCTGATTGAATCGGGTCAAAGTTGTTGTGAATCCCTTAGGAACCCGGCATCATCTGGCAGTCGAGATTGATTGGTTTCGACAATGTTCGGTTGTATCATCCGGCAGGAAACGACCGGACCATTTTCCTTTGAATTTCGGCCCGGATTCCGGGAGCAGAGGTTCCGGCGAAATCCCTGTCGGATCCTGGCAGATTTTAGTGGTAAACATGCCGACTTTTGGAGAGCTCCAGTGTCGGTTCCGATGGGTTCCAGAGGCAGGATCGAGTGCTTGGGTTATCAACCGCGGTCGGCAAAACCTATGACAACCAATCATTCGATAAATCGCTTTGTAAGTGTCATTGGTCGCAGTGTGCGGAACCAATCTATACCATTGCTGCCATACACCGCGATGTTAGCAGGATACATCACTAGCGGCGAAACTTATGCAAACCCTTCATGTGCTAAGCCCCTCTCTAGACATCATCCACAACAGTATCATCCGTTAATATGAGTTCAGAAGGAGTCTTTATATTGGGCAACTGTAGCTAGACAGAAATTATTTTTCATTTGTTGATGTTCTTCATACATATTTTCAATACGACTATCACAGATGCTGGTGGTTTTATATGAAACTATTTCAATAAAAGATTGAAAATTTTTAACGTGAAAGAGAATATGGTGGCTGTCTTAATGATTGAAATTGATTTGCTGTTACATGTGGCTTGTATTCTAAGAGATTGATTTCACAGACATATGTAGCTGATTCATGAAAATTATAAAAAAACCTATCAGACATATCCTAATACGACTAATATTTTAGAGTCAATAATCACACAGTAACACAAAGAGAAAGTTCGAAAAATTCCTTCACTATACCGCGGGAGAATACATCCTATTCCGCAATGTTGAACATTCCGGAACTAGTTCCGCTCACGGAACAAATTCCATCCAATTCCCGGAATTCCGTTTATCCCTTCCGATTCAATTCCGGAATTACACGGAATTCCTACGGATTCCGCCTAATTCCTCACGGTTCCGGAATTCAGTGCAACCAGACTAACATTCACACCCACACTTATGGCAACACCCACACTTATGGCAACACCCACACTTATGGCAACACGCACATTTACACTCACACCATGCAATTCCGGTACGGAATTCCGTCTAATTCCCAGTGATTCCGTGTTGACCTAATTCCGGAATTCCGGACCAGAATCGGATCATCACGAAATGGATAAGAAAAGATAGAATAGTGACACAAGTGGTAATTCCGGAATTGCTAGGAATTCCCGAAATTCCGTCTAATTCACAGCGATTCCGCTTTCACCTAATTCCGGAATTGGACTGACTTCCGTGAAATTCCGCGAATCGGACGAACTAATTCCGGAATGAGACGAACCAGTTCCGGAATCGGATAGTGCTCATATTTGACCTAATTCCGGAATTGACGGAACTGATTCCGGCGGCGGAACTGGTTCCAAAATGTTCAACATTGCGGAATAGGATGACTGCTCTACCACGGTGTATATTTTCCACGCCGCGGTGCATCAGATACAATCAAAACCGCGGTTTCTTTCTTCCCGCACTGTTCTTTGTTACTATATGTGCAAAGACAAAACAGTAGTGTCAAACTTGCAACTTGAATTCAGTTGAAAATAGAAAATTTCAACTTTCAACTTTCAACTCATAACGATATATGTGCCAGTCACGATTCTTCAGCATGCTATTGGTTTAAAAGCTGAAAATTGAAAATTGAATTCAAGTTTCAAGTTTAACATATATGAGACAAAAATGATGTCGTGCGCTAAGATTATCGCTCAAGTTCAACAAAATAATCAGCAGTACAACCTTGTGAATTATTAGTATGTGTGCTTTGTGGAAGATTTGAGAGGCGAGCAGCGGTGTTTGGGAGAACAGATCGCATATGTAACATGTGTTATGACCCCCTCTGAGGGTATTTTTAGCACTTTGCCTGTTACTTTCACGAAGTAGCAACTGAACATCCGCGCGAACAGGGGTTTCGGTCGCCATTTGTGCTCGAAAATCTTATAGTGGAGGATGAAAATGGTAGATTGTTAGTAGGTTGCAATTGCTTTAAAACTTTGATAAATATTAACCGGCAAACACCACGTTGTGTAAGAAGTCGTGACTCTCAGCGGTTTCATTTCACCGCGAAAGTCAGACCGTTCATTCGGTTTTTGGAAACCGGTGCTAACCGTCTAATTTTGAAAACCACGGCTATCGACGTTTTTGAAAAACCTAATAAAAGGTCTGACTTTCGCGGTTTGTTAATACCGTTATGAAGCTCGGTATGAAAAACCTCGCTCTGGAGTGGTTTTCAATGGAAATTTGTTTTTCGTGGGTAGCTGGCTTATTGAAGATGAATCGTCACAGACTATTGTTCATGAAGACAGATTTTAACCAGAACTTTGTTTAGTATATTCTTTAAATCAAATAGTCTTCAATGTAGATAACGGCAAGACTGTAGGTCACAAGTATTATTTTGAAAATTGTCCGAAGACTTTTGCTAATGGAATATGGAAACAAACGGTTGGCCGTCCAAAGGTCGAAAGGAAAAATATCGAAAGGGAAAACGTCGAAAAATCGATGGGGAAAAATGTCGAAAGGGAAAAATGTCGGAAAAAATATATTGTTGTGGAAAATGATCGAAAAGAGTATTTTAGAATTCTGACTTAAGAGAAGGATGTTTTATTGCGTACGTTAATACTAACATATGATAATCGAAATAAAACATAAATGAAAATATAAAAAGAAAAAAATAGAAAATGCTATTTTTTTCGTTTTGCCACTGTATATGATAAGCCATCTAAGTACTCCATAGCACTTATAACGCCATCATAATATCGTTGACCAATATTATCAATACGACGTTGAATTGCGATTGTTTTGGCTTGTTTAGGTCTTGCTCCTAAACCTGCATAAAATTGAATACGTAAATGATGAAAACGATTCTCTTCTCCTTGTAGAAATTTTATGAACGACCACATATTTGGATGAGTTATTTGAACTCGACGGTTGAAGCGACTATGAAATGCTGAATAAGACATGAGAAAATAAAATTATAGGAGGACTAAAAAATGTGTTTACCTTCAGCATCATTATTGGTTCTCATGCTAAAACCATGCATACACCATTGAGACATAGGAAATTTAACAAACCATTGTCCTTGAAAATACTGTAACAAATCATTTGGTTTATTTTTTATTTCGATTGACATTGCTGCTAATAATTCATCAAAAGTGTCTTCAATGATTGGTTCAGGAAGTAAAGCAAGGGCCATTAACTTTCGACAAGAATGTTTAATATCATTGTCATTATTATAACTTGTAGATAACCCGACTCGTTGTACAGCTCGATAGACAGCTTGCGTAAAATGAAAATAGCAAGATGAATGCTTTGCTCCAACAAACTGTAAGAACAAGAAATCAAAATGCTACTCAGAAAAAATATGAGACATTTACTTCAGCTGCAATTACGATGATTAAAGCAGGTTCAAAGTCACTCATTATTGATTTAGGTGTAAAGTTTAGTTGCATTTGCATAGCTATTGATTTTAACTCCTGAAACATGAAATGATATGTGGTTTTTAATCGATTAGGTAATAAGTCAAATACACAAGGAAATGCTAAGCAGAAATACCGTTAGTTATTAGAAAAAACAGCAATAAAGATCAGGTACGTCTGCATAATATGCTCTTACTCATTTCACGTTCACCTGGTAATATAGCTGTTGTTGCATCTGATAGTTTCGCTTTTGCACATTCTTTGCCATATATTCGTGGAATAGGTGTTGCTTCATTTACTGCTCGTTGTTTAGCTTTCTCACGAAATTCACGAACTTCAGTAGTTTCTTTTTCTGAAGGATGACTATGCTCATCATTTATTTTAACTAAATGGCCATTCACATCTGTATGAATTTTAGCAGAACAACTATTAACTACACATTTCCAATATTTTGTAGTTGTTGTTGTTTTATTTAATTTGAAAATGTATTCATTTGCTATTAGCAATTGTTTTCCTTCCTGTGAATTAATAAATGAAATCGTTGGTGACTTCGATTGAGTTTCATCTTCTGAAGATGCGACAGCTGCAGCCATAATGGTAGAATTTTAGTTATTTATTTACTCTTATGTAGGGGTTGTTTACTTAATTTATATGAAGTATATTAATCATCACTGTTACAAGAGGTGCAAAATCTAGACTAGTAGAATTATGGGAAAAGAAAACATGAATTATTCGCGTTTGGAATCATCATTTACTGTAGACATCGCTATTTCGTTTATTTCGAAGTTTGACATTTTTTTGTGGTAAAATGTATTGTTCGACGTTTTTCTCTTTTTATATTTTTTTCGACATTATTCCCTTTCGACCATTTTCTTTTCGACCATTTTCCCTTTCGACATTTTTCCTTTCGACCTTTCTACGGCACACCAAACAAACAGAGATATCAGGGCCAAAATGTACAAAATTGCTTGACGATCATCGTTGGCTCCATACTAATCCAATGTTATTAATTAGATGGTAGAAGAAGGAATCAATATAATGTCATATCCATCATATTCGCCAGGCCTGATACTATGTCATTTTTGGCTAACCAATTCTATTGAACGTAGTTTAACTAGTTAAATAAATGCAACATGATTAGTTCATGTGGTATCCAAGGTACCTAAAAGTTTTTTTCAACTATTTTTCGAAAAAACTTTTAATAAATTGTTAAAAAGGATTCAGCTTGATACATATAATCATGGCAACTATCATCAGCATTTAATAAAATAAAACTCGAACTTTCTCTTTTTCTTTAATTTTGTTTTTAAATGCAAAACTTTTGGTCAGACCTAAGTATATTTATATATTATCATTGTAATCTAAAAGCAATATATTGTATCATTCAACACAAACGAAAAAAAAACTAGACACCATAGATGATATATAATGTTTAACAGAAACAGAACAGTATTTTTAGTCTTTATTTGAAATATGCGAGTACGTATATCTCAATTTGATAAAGCTAATAATACATTAAGCCAATCAGAGTAGGTTTAATTAT